GAATCACTGGAGAAGCTCAACATCAGCTGTGAAAAAAACTAGGCCAGGTGATGATTATAGAACAGTCCATCAACTACTCATACGCAAGTTCAAACTGAAGTTAAAGAAAATAATATCAAATCCACAAGAACCAAAATTTGACCTCAAGTCTATCCCACCAGAATCTAAAAACCATCTCAGAAACAGGCTTGAGTCCTTGAATGTCAATGAAGGAAGACCAGATGAACTGTGGGAGGATATCAAGAAATCATCTGTGAAGAATGCAAACAGTCCTTACAAAGATGAAGGAGGAAGAAAAGAACAAGACAGATATCAGAAAATACTCTTAATATTGTACTAGAGAGCTGAGAACTTGAAGCCAAAGCAAGGGGAAGAGATCAAGAAGTTAAGGAGCTGGACAGATTTCAAAAGGCAGCTCGGACTGATAAAGCAAAGTATTGTAATGAAATGTGCAAAGAGCTGGAGCCAGAAAATCAAAAAGGAAGAACTTGTTCAGCATTTCTTAAGCTGAAGAAACTGAAGAACAAGTTTAAGCCTTGAGTTGCATTACTTAAGGATGCTAAAGGCAGAATGCTGAATGACTCAGGAAGAATCAAAAGAAGACACAGAAGGGGTGCACAGAGTCATTATACCAAAAAGAATTGAATGACACAAAATAATGTCATGAAACAGCACATGAGCAAGAGGCAATGATGACGAACGAGGGCATTCAAGCTGCTCTGAAAGAATTGGCAAAAAACAAAGCCCCAGGAAATGATGGGATACCAATTGCCATATTTTAGCACACAGATGCTACTTTGTACACACTCACTAGATTATGCCAAGAAATCTGGAGGACTAGTTAGCCAACTAACTGGCAAAGATCTGTATTTATTCCCATTCCAAAAAAAAAATAGATGACCTAACAGAGTGTGGAAATTAGTGAACAATATCACTAATGTCATATGCAAGGTAGGCCCTGCTGAAGATTATCCATAAACAACTGGTACAATACATCGAAAGAGAACTTCCAGATGTGCAAGCTGGGTTTAGAAGAGGTCGTGACACTAGAGACATCATAGCCAATGTTAGATACATCTTTGCAAAAATCAGAGAGTACCAGAGGAATGTCTATCTGTGTTTCATTGACTATGCAAAGGCATTTGACTGTGTGAATCACAGCAAATTGTGACTAACTCTGAGAAGAATGGGAATTCCAGAACATTAAATTATGCTCATGCAAAACCTGTACTTGGAACAGAAAACAGACATTAAAACAAAAGAGGAAAACACTGCCCAATTCAGGATCAGGAAAGGTGTACATAAGGGATGCATTTTATCTCCATACCTTTTCAATCTATGTGCAGAACAGATCATTTGGGAGGCTTGATTTTATGAGGAAGAATGTGGCATCAGGTTTGAAGGAATACTCATCAACAATATGCATTATTCAGAGGAAAGAGCCTTGTTTAATGAAACTAAGGAGGACATGAAGTGTTGTTTTAAAGGTCAAGAACTATAGTCTTTAATATGGATTGAAGCTCAACATCAAGAAAATTAATATTCTCACTACTGGGTCAATTGGCAGCTTCAGGCAGACGAAGAAGAGGTTGAGATTGTTAACAACATTAGCTTGTTTGGTTCCATAATCAACACTACTGAGACCAGCAGTCATCAATAACACAAAAGGCGAACTGCATTGAGAAAGTCCACTGTCAGTGACATCATTAGAATATTGAAGAGCAACTATGTCAGTCTGGAGACTAAGTGTTCCTAATACAGGCCATGGGATTTGGAACTACTTTCTATGCATCAGAGAGCTGGACAATAACTAAACATGATAGAAAGAGGATGAATGACTTTGAGTTGTGGTGCTGCAAGTGAGTATTGAACATACTGGTGTCTGACAGGAGAACAAAACGTCTGTACTAGTGAGAGTAAAACCAAGCTGCCCCCGAAGACAAAGACTTTGAAGCTCCATCTCGCATACTTTGGACATATGGCCAGGAGGGACCAGTCCTTGGAGAAAAACATCTTGCTTTGGAGGATGGAGGGACAGAGCAGGAAAGGAAAACCCTGGATGAGAAAGATTGACTCAGTAACTGAAGGAATGGGTTTAGGTCTATTAGAGACAGTGAGATTGCCTCAGGAAAGGGCAAGTTCAGAGGTAATGTGCATAAGGCTACTTACTAAGAGTCATAGGAGACTTGATGGCACATAACAACAACTAAAGGCTGTGGGCTTAACTTTTTGTTCTTTTTTTCTGTTTGATAGTGGTGTTATCATTTTTTTCTCCTTTTTTTTATATTTTTGCCTATTGATATTAACTGCCCCTAAGAACTACCTTAGCTGTATCCAAGAGGTTTTGATGTGTTCTATTTTCATTTGTTTTGAGGAACTTTTTTCCATCCAGTAGTGTTTAAGCAAGGTATTAGTTTCTAATTTTTTTAATCTTTTATCCTTTTGTTATTAATTTCTAATTTTATATGTCATTGTGGTCTGAAAAGATACTGTACTATTTCAATGGGTTGGGTTTTTTTTTTTTTTTATTTTTGGGCTTTGCTTTGTACATGCAGGATGTACCATGTGCATTTGAGAAAAAAGTAAATTGAGTTTTATTTGGGTGAATTGCTTAGCTGGTGCTGAGAGTTTTGATTGAGGAACCAAGCAAGCTGAAATTGTCAACAATCTCAATCTCTATTGTGAAGCTGACAATTGGTCCAGTGACAAGAATCTTCTTTATGATACTAAAGATAAGTTGCAGATTAATTGTTGCCAGCGTTTAGTTTTCCAGTGGCAGTCTTTCTTGATAGTCATATATATGTGGCTCTGTTCCCTGTTTCCTGTGGCAAGCTTCTCATCTGATTGTTCTTTGACGACCAAGGAGCTGGGGTCTTTTTCCTTGTCCCATTGTAGTAGGCCTGCTCCTTTTTCCTGTCTTATAGTTTGATGTTGCTGGGGCTGGTTCCCCCTTGGGGGGGGGATGGGGGGGGGACAAAGTTCCAGGAGTGCTACCTGGAATATATTGCTCAGGAAAAAGGCCTAGGATAGTGGCAAAGTCCCATAAGTACAGCCTTCAATTCTTAGTAAGTTCTAATGTTCGACCCACATACCTGTCTTCTCTCCCACCAAGGATTTCTGAAGCAAAGACTCAGGGAAGCAACAGGTTCCCAACAGTGCCGTTTCCAAATCTCAGTAGTTGGTAATGACTGGATAGTTGTCCTTTCT